CCCCCCCCCCCCATCTCTCCAAACTGACTGTGGCAACCCCTTCGGGACAGCTTTCACGCGTTACTTCTCTTCTTTTTTCTTTTTTTTTTTTTCATTAAATGCCAGCCACTGCGTCTGTCTGCACCAAAAAGAAAAAAAAAAACGAAAAAGAAACACACAACTGCCTGCTCTTAATCAGAGGAGAGAGAGATAATCTCTCCGTGCGCCACAGACGCACATTTTACTACGGATTTACGCGTAAACTCGTGCAGCTCGAGAAAGGAATATAAGAGGGGGAATTGGAAACAAAATACAGAGAAATAAATAAATAAAAATAAGAAAACAGCCGTCGCAGAGGAATCGATGACATCATGTCTGTGTGTGTGTGTGTATATATGTGGTGGGGGGAGGGGGAGAGGTGGAAAAAAAGATGTAGTTATGTGAAAGCAGATGTTCGTCTGGCCTCTGGTTTGCTGCGGAGAGAGTGAGACTCATCACACACACCTCCACACACACCTCCACACACACACAGACACACACACACAGGGAGAGAAGCTTTCTACCCACGTCTTTGGACAAATATCCCCCCCCTCCATTCAAGCGCAATGCCGCACTCGCCGCGCTCAGCGCCGTCCAGATGTGCGCGCATCTGGCCGCCGCCGAGACCGCCGCGCAGCGCAGACAGGACCCGGGTGAAACCAGGTGAAGCGGAGATCGGAGCCGGAAGTTTCCTCACCTCCACACTTGTCCCATCTGAAAGACGTGCACGAGGCTCTGCCAGAGCCAGACGGACAGGCGGCAGCACCTGTCCCTCTGCAAAGTGGCCGTGGCCCTGCGGCCGCTGCTCAGCCCCTCCACGGAGCCCAGTCCGCCCCCCGTGTAATCCTGCACGAACCACCTGAAGCTCAGGATCTGCACCAGCACCGAGGGCACCAGCACGAAGAACAGGGTCAGGCCCGACCACAGGAAGTTCCGCTGGCGGTAGTAGTCGGCGGCCAGCCACAGGTCGGTGCCCACGTCCCAGAAGAAGACCAGCAGCGCCAGGACGATCCACAGACAGTCCAGCCAGAGGCGCTCCTCCTGCGGCGGCGGCGCTCGCCCCGCGCCTCTCCCCTTCTTCCCCTTCCTCCGGAGGTAGTGCAGGCACGCGCTCCGGCAGCCCCAGTAGCAAGACGAGGTGTTGCAGCAGTGGCAGATGTGGAAGGAGCTGCCGTCGCGCGCGTCCTCCTCGCCGGTCCCCACCACCTCGTCCAGGTTGTGCAGCTGGGCGAAACCGGTGATGACCCCGCGACCATCGGATTTCGCTGCCATCTTCCCCCTCTCTGGTGTTCCCACCTCCTCCGGCTTCCGGGGCTCGTGACGACACTTCCCTGACACCTGTTTTGCACCCCAAATGTTGGAGCCATCTATCTCTCAGAAGCGGGGTGTCAGCGCGGAGCCGACTCTGTCCCCAAACGGCGCAGCGGCGTCACCGTAGACGCAGCGCATCTTTCCTGACCCCCCCTCCTCCTCCTCTTCCTCCTCTTCCTCTCCCCTCCACTTCACTGCGGATCTGATCCCAGCTACTCACAGCAATAATCTGTCAATTCAAACTATTGAATGTGTAACTCGTGCACCCAGCAGGGAGACAACTCTTATTTTTTTTCCACCTTTCTGTCCCAGTTGTTCCGATGGGTTTCCCTCGTCTCTGCTGCTGCGAGCTGACTGCCATGAACAAGACCGTCAGTCCTTCCGCTGTCCTACGCCGACGTAATTTATCCCCCCACCCCCCTTCCACTCTACCTCTCCCCCTCATGTCCTCTTACACTCACACACTCTGTCTCTTTCTACCACCCAGCTTGGTTGCCATCTAGTGTCTCCTATGAGGCTGCAAGGAGTATTTCTTCACCAACAGCAGGTCTGCTGATCCATTTTGCCATCCGTGCCATTATTTGAGGGACATTTTTGTAAAGCTATTTCCTGAGGTGATGCACAGATGTAATAATCAAAGATAAGTGACTTTACAGAGCTCGGTGTCTGAGCAAAAGAATAACAGCTCTGGTTGATTTTAATGCAACTTATTGTTAACAGTTTGCTGATTGAAACAGCATGTTATAATGACCACATGGGTTCAACAAACTAAGGAAAAATGAAGTAGCTGACTTTATCACAAAGAAACAGAATGAGCACGTTTACTGGATTAAACAGTAAGAAAAGAATTATCACAAAAAAGATTAACTGAGCTGAAAGAATCTCAGGTTAGCCAATAAGTAGCTAAAAACTTAGAAAACAGCTGAAATTAACTGCATAAAGAAGCATAAAAAGCTTAAAATAGCAAAAAAGAAGAGATTTTTTAAATAGCTGAAGAATGGCAGATTCAGTCAGAATGATTGCTTAAAAAAGCAAATTAGAAGCCAAAGGAAGCTAAAATTAATACAAAGAAGTTAAACAAAGAAGAACAAAAGTTTAAAAAAGATCAATGAACATTTGAAGGGTTGTAATGATGTTGAAGACAGCTCCGGTCATTTTCAAAGTGAAAAACAGGAAAAGCTAAATACCTCAAAATGTATGAACTGCAGAAGGACGGAAAGGCATAGCTAAAAAGCCCTGAAGAAGCTGGACATTTTGATATGTAAACTTGCAGAATGTACAGAAAAAACACATTATAAGCCATGCAATTATAAGGGATCCCTGATTAGTTGTAACATTAGACTTTATTTGATAAACATATATTTTAACTGTAAAATAAAGACTGTAAAAATACTGTAGGATGTTTAGTTTTGTAAATTTTTTAAAATATATTTTAACGGGGCCATTTTATTTACACACAAAGCATTCTGGGTAAATGATGACGTGGATAGGTCCTCGGTGTGAGCGAGCTATATCCACCCTGAAGGTTAATCTTGGACAATATCTGATGATCAACTCTTTTAAATGAAACCAGAGAGCGTTGACAGAGAGGAGAAGGTAGAAATGACTCAGCCTGTAACTGAAAATATGGATGGAGGAAAACAGAGCTGCTTCATGGAAGAAGAACCTCAGCTTAGCCTGTTAGCCTTTGCGCTAGCGCTGACACTATGTTGCATTATATGTGTTAGCTCAGTGCTAGTGTGACAAACAAGATAAACTGAGGTCCTCCATCCATATTTTCAGTTGCAGTCTGAGTCATTTTTGTGTTCCCCTCTCTGTCATGTGGATGGAGGACCTCAGTGGCGAGAGGAGAATGTGTAGCGCTGAGCTAATACATATGCTGTATATGGTGATAGCGTCGGGGCTAACGCTGAAGCTAACAGGCTAAGCTGAGGTTCTTCTTCCATGAAGCAGCTCTGTTGTCCTCCATCCATATTGTCAGTTACAGGCTGAGTCATTTCTACCTTCTCCTCTCTGTCAACGCTCTCTGGTTTCATTTAAAAGAGTTGATCGTCTGATATTGTCCAAGATTTACCTTCAGGTACAGCTTGCTAGCAGCCTCGCACCAATGACCTAGTTGGCATCATCATTTACCCAGAATGCTTTGCGTGTAAATAAAATGGCCCCGTCCGTGTAATATATTTTTAAACTTTTAGTTTAAAATGATAAAAACTGAACATCCTACAGTATTTCACAGTCTTTATTTTACAGTTAAAATAAGTATTTATCAAATAAAGTCTAATGTTACAACTAATCAGGGATCCCTTTAAAGGGTAAAGCTGTATTTTGTAAGAATACAGTTGGACTTCCTGCAACAACAACATGAGTGACAACCTCTGCAACTATTTTTGCACTTCTATTCAGACATGTATATACTATATGCAGGCTATATTTACTCTCTTATATCGATGGGGGGGGGGGGGGTCTTCTCACAAGCTTCAGTCAAGCATTAGCATGGATGCGTGCCCCTCCTCCACCCCGCGGTTGCAGAAAAGAACCGGTGAGTCCACATCTGTGATTAGACTGAGCCCACTGAGCTGCCACGCGGGGTCACATCCAGCCTCGGACTGATTGGTTCGTTCCCGCCTCAGCCCTGCTGCAGACTGGCTCTGCAAGGTGCTCAGTGTGATTTGATGGGAGCTGTCCAGTGCTGAACCCTGATGGCTCTCCCTGTCTCACTGAGAACACTCATCATTAAAAAAAAGGCTTCTCCTCAGCTCTTTGTTTTCTAAAGTATCAGTATTTCTGCAACGCAGCATTCTTGTACTGAAGGATGTGATTTAAACAAGAACATCTTAATATGCTAAATTACAAAATAATATTAATAATAATTAAAAAAAAGAAATATTATGCCATTAATTGTGACAAGGCTTGAATCATACCAAATTTAAATACTGTAAGTGGAGTTAGTCTTTTCTTTCCTCTATTGAACAACTTAGGAACTTTTGACGATTTCTTGTTGTTGTGGTTTTGATCTGTTGTCATATTTTGGTGATATAAAGAATATGAACATCTTTGAGAACAAATAATAGACATGCTCCTAAAGTAAAGAATTTTCCTGTTATCCATAATTGGCTTGGATATAAAATCAGATGAATGAAAGCTACATTGTTCATAAATTAGGGTAAATTTTCTTATTTTGATGCTTTGTTCCTGTTTTTCTTCCAAGAGCATAAAGTGCTCTTGAGTCCATCTGGATCAAAACAAGCCATTTGTTAGATTTTCAGCCACCAGCCATGTGAAAAGGTGCTTGGTGGGATGTTTGATTTGGTCTTCATCAATAACAGCATCAACATGAAGGCTTCCTGGTGGCTGGGGTCATCCAAGGGTTTTATATCACAGGTCTAGCATTGATTATACACATTTACAGTCCTTCATCCCGAGCTCATTGTTTTAATGGAGTCATTACAGCTGATTATTTTACGTTCTCAGATGCTTTCACAGCGAGACAATGCAGGTGTCCGCTCACTTTTCAGCATCCCCATCAGGGATTTAGTGCTGGAGTATTGATGCGCTCCATCTCACTTAAATTAGAGTCATTGTCAGAATAAATTAATTGTCTTCTGCTCTGAAAACAGTGAATAACATTTAACACAATAAGTTTTTTATTTTTATTTTGCGTCAAGTATGATTATAAATGGACTTTACAATCTAATCATATTTGTGTGAGATGGCTAGTTGATCAAATGATCAGCCTGCTTAGTTGACTTAATTTTAAAATGGCAACATCTTTTCTACCCACCACCTATTATTTCTTATTTCTGTTGGGTTTTTTTGTTTGTTTGTTTGTTTTGTTGTTGTTGTTGTTGTTTTTGACAGAGCCAAAGTAACTCTGGCTTTGGAGGTGCATTTTATATATATATAAGGGATGCAACAATACATGTAGGCTGCGTTTGTGAGTGCAGATCCGCTAAGAAACTTGCTGTTTCAACAACATTTAATTTAAAAAGTGTACTTTTGAGGTTAAACAAATGTTCATAATTAATTTAAATAAATTACAAGTTAAAAGAGGCGTGGACATTTCTCTTTTTTGTTTCGAAAAAATATCGAACTGTGAGACTAAAGTATTGAACCGAGCCGAAGCGTGAATTTTCTGTATCGTTGCACCCCTAATATATATGTATATAGGTTCTGTCCGCATAGGCATAATTTGCAGGGGGGTTAGGGGGGTTATGACCCCCACAATAAGTTGATCCAGTCAATATAACCCCCCCCCCCCCCCCCCAATGGTAGACTTAAAGTTACGCCCTTGTCCATCCGTCCATTTTTTATCGCTTATCCGGGGTACAAAAATCCAAAGAAAGCATCTTTATATTTTAGAAACATTGCATAAAACACACATTTTGTCACATAACTGGCATTTTTTTAACTTGGCTGAGCCAAAGTGAAACAGGAAGTGACAAAAAAGGGGAACTCTTTAAGAGATGGTCTTTGTTTACTGAAGCAGAGTTATTTGAACTCTGACTTTTCTTCATCTCTCTATAGGGACTCAAAATAATCTAAAGAAACACCAGAAGCTTCCCTGCTGTTTGTGTTGTTAGCCATTGTAGCAATGCTCTGTTTACAATCAGCCATTCCCCTTTGACATCACTTCCTGTTTCTTCACATGCAAATATCTCAACAGCTGTTCATCTTGTGTGGTTGTTTTTGCAATATATTATCAATGTTGTTTTTCCAAAAATGTATTCATATTTGTCACAAAAATTTGATGACAGACACTTTCAGCTCAACAGGATCCCATCCAAGCCTTCAAATCATAACTTTTCTAAAGTGTTTGTGTCCGTTCTGAGAAATGATATAAAAGAGGGATGTTGCACGTTTTTTTTTTACATTAATATTTACTGTAAAGGACACATCAGCTAAAATTCACTCATGGGTTTGCGCCTGTTTGTTTCAGCCATGCGCTGATGTGCTGCCATGTGGATCATCTTAAATACAAAACAATTAAATATCTAACCATTCATCATTTCAGTTTTCCTAATTCTGTTCAACCAGAAGACTGATTTATCCAGAGCAAAGTGTAACTTCATCTTCACACACGTCTCAGCAGGTGTCACTTCACCTGAGCTGAGCAGGTGGAAGAGGTGCCACAAACTCCAGGAGGTGGAAAACTGAGCTCACACCTAAAATTACTTCTTGTGCACAAATCTGTCTTTTTTTCTTACCTCTGAGGTGGAGTTGCTCCATTTCAGATGATTTGCATAATGTTCATTCATTTAATCAGCACTGCTGTCATTCTTAAATCAATCTAACTTTTACATTCAGTCTCATTTTATTAAATGTGGGTGTTTTTTTCTTTATGTTGTTATTTTTTTCTCTGCATTAAGCTTCTTAATTTCCCCTAAGAACTTATCAAATGTGTTTTCTCCCCCACCTTTTTTTTTAACTGTCCCTCTTTTTCTGTTGTTTTAAAGCCTTTTCAGGTATACTTAACGCTCTTGCATTGCTTTGATGATGTGTTTTTTTATTATGGTTGCATTAATTTAATTTAAGAGGAAGTTCAAGTGTAAAAAAAACATTCCATTTTGTCAGTAATGACAGAGTCTTAATTCAGTCTGTGTGTTGCAAAGCTGAAGGAAAAGAAAAAGTTTATAAAACAGCTTTCATGAACCAAACAAGAAATAAGAATATGACTGGCTGGCTGGATCACTGTTATTTTTTTTAATTGCCAGCATCCCACTTTGGTCTTGGCTTTGCTCTGACTAGCCACTAGCTCATCAATCCAGTCAGAATTACACGATTTTTCTCTGAAGTTTGGTCAATCAAAGCTCTATCAGCGACAGGTAAGATGTTTATACAACCTGTATAAACATCCAGTTTGAGCTGCTTTCTTTTCGCTCCTTTTTTGAGCATGTTCAGACTTGAAGAGATCATGTTGAAGGCTGCTTTAAGGGTTAAGCGTGCATGGGGCGAATGACGCAGAGCAGCTGCAGCTCTGATGTGAATTCTGAGCTCATGTTCATGTTCATGTGGTGCAAATCAATGATGCATTGTGGTCAAGGCTATTTTAAGGTTCTGGACTTCAATACAAGCAGCCATGATAGCAAGTGTCTGTGATGGTTTCATTCTCTCTCACCTGTGTTTATTTCCTGGGTAATCCTTTTTTTTTGTCATATTTCTTTTTGTGCTTATATCTCAACACAAAAATTGCTTTCTTTACACTATTAATGGTTTCTCAGAAAAATGTAATAAAAATGTTCTGAATTTGGTAAATACAGCCTCAAATGACAAACATTTCATGGCATATTGTGCAGCATCTGATTTTGTTAAGTAAAAAAATGCAGAAGCAGTGTGTGTACAAAATTAACTAAATTGTGAATCAATAGGCTACTGCTTTTACAAAAATTTGGAGGGAGAGTAGCTGCCATGGTGTTGCTGATCAAGCACATTTTCAGCCAACAGAGTCCATTACCTCACAGTGACAAACATATTGACATCATGGAAGATGGTTTTCTTGTGTCAGACTATAATTTCTTGTTCAACGTCAAAGTTCACCGTGTCGCTCATGGCTCAGTAGTCGATGGGTCATCCCCCTAAGATTAATCAGAGGTTCCCAAAGTGTCCCAACTCTCCTCACATGGATGAACATAATCTGACAATTCTTAAGAAAAAGCCAATATGTGTGTTGCAGAGTTTATGTCCCACCAATGACTTTCTTGTGGAAGGAACCACTAGAAGAATCATGAAGAGAAAGAAGCTAAAAAGAAGAGCATTCTAAAATAAATTTGTTAATAAAAAAATTATAGTCAGTTCATTCCAAGTGCATTAAAATGTTCCAATGTCACCACCTAGTGTCATCTCTTTCGACTTTATTGATTTTTTTTTATGCTGGCTGTGTAAACAGAGTTTGAATGAAAACAGAGCTAAAAACAACAACAAATAAACAGATTTTATTATGTGCTGCAGTCAGGGCTTTCTAGTAGATGATTTCTCCATCTCCTATCCTACCTATCTCCATTTTTCATTTTTTTTTTAGTTTGTTACATGAGTCAAATGTTAAGACGTAATATAGTTTAGTAGTAATTTTTATATTTCATTTCATAGTTTCCAAAAAAAAAAAAAAAAAAATTAGCACAAAGTCGGCGTCGCGAACAAATGCGGCATTTTAAGCCAACCGGAACTGAACTTCTCTTGTGTAATTTGTTTCCACACGGCATGTTTTGGTGAACGTACCAGTCGCGGTGCAAAGCCAAATAAAAAAATCAGGTAACGCTGTGAATAATCGTGTTTAACAATTTTAGGAAACGTTTCTAATAGTGTTGTAAGTTTACATCGCAGCTAATGTGGACTGTTTGAAGTAAGTTGAATAAAAACGGAAGACATTTTTGTCGCTAAATATTTTTTTTCTGTTACAAAGCTAGCTTAGCTAACCTTAGCCGCTTGATTTCCTGATTCTTGGCGAAACGTTTTGCTTTATTTTTATTTGTATTTCTGTGAACGTGACATCGACCAGCACGATATGTTTTTAAACCACTGCATTGCCAGCACTCTGTAACATGTTGTGTAGATGACACATCTTTTAAACCCTTCTCATTTATGCCTCAATAATTTTGGGCTGGGCTCGTTTTTATGCCTGTTTTAGGTCAACATAATGGAGTTTGCAGAGCTGATAAAAACACCCAGGGTGGACGGGGTGGTCCTGCACCGACCCTTCATGCCCACCGTGGAGGGAACTCTATGTCTGACTGGTCATCACCTGATCCTGTCCTCCAGACAGGACAACACAGAGGAGCTGTGGCTGCTCCATTCAAACATAGACTCCATAGAGAAGAGGTGACATTTGTACCATAAGGTTTATTTTAATTTTAAGAACTGCTGTCATCTTTTTTTATTGCTTGTTTTGAATAGATGTAGATAAAATGTCCAAGTCCAAAGTCATTAAAGAGAAATAAATCATGGATATTGGATATGAACACTTTCAGTGCCATGTGATTACATCATTCATGTAGGACATTTAGAATGTACTACATATTAATATTACTTAGCTTAATGATAAATTTTCTGCATTTATTTGTGTTTTTTACAGCTCAAGTAGATAAAGTACTTAGAAAGTACTTGTTATATTTATTTTTATTATTTCATTCCTCTAAAATATGCTTTCTTCACAGTTATTTCCCCTTGTTTAATCGATCTGGACCATGTTTTTTCTTTAGGTTTGTGGGATCTCTGGGAAGCATCATAGTCAAATGCAAAGACTTGAGGGTGATCCAGCTCGACATCCCTGGTATGGAGGAATGCCTCAACATTGCCAGTTCTGTTGAGGTAAAACACCAACTTATTATACTCTCCAACAGGAAGCATAAGGGTGACCAAATGTCTAGAATTATGCAAGACTGTCCTGCATTTTTCACTCATGTTCTGGCATCCCTCAAGTTGAAACCATGTTTTGCATTTGGCTGGATCAAATTATGAAAAGTTAAAAAGAGGTGGGGGGGGGGGGAGTGAGAAGAGAGATGGGTAAAAGGCAGAGACGCAGCTTCAGCTGTCAATCACAACGTGCAGCAGCACATGCTGTCCTCTGCACCGCTGCTAATACAGGGCAAGAAAAGGGATTTGATTTATGCAGAAGAATGTAAATTCAATTCAATTCAAAAATACTTTATTGATCCCAGAGGGAAATTAGGTGTTGTTGTAACTCATTTAACT